CCTAAATGACATTTCCTCGCTCAAAATTACAGTTAAAAGTAAGTTACGACGATGAAGCGATGGGTGTCTTGTCTGTGGGGCGAGGCGAACAATAATAGAGGTTCACACACAATCGTGCCAAGCTCAAGCTGGCCAATGTTCAAAAACTAAAAAGATCATAGGTCTTGAGGCAAACAAGAAAATAATAGCAAAAAATTATGGCAATAGTTTTAAGAAAGACAAAAATATTACTCTTTACTCCAACAAAGCCCTGATTTAAATGTATAGATGGAGATCTCTTTGCTTAATATCGTTTGTGTAGTTTGTCTCCTGGTGTAGTGTAGTGCCTTCGTCCCCCTCTCTCTCCACCTCCCCAACCTTTCTAGCAGACGCCGACGAAAACGGCCGTGTTTTGAGGAGGTTAGCCGTTCGAAGTGTAATAATCAATTTTTCAAACGTTGAGATCAACAATTAATGAAAAATTTGAACTGTCGCGTGAAATTTAGTTGCACTTTTTAGAATATATCAGGTATGTTTTTAAAAAAAATTATGATTTGAACCGAAACCTTGACATATACCTACTAGTACTTTGGTTATTATATCACTAGTACTTTGGTTACTATATCATTACAATTACTATTTTAATTATTTTAGGCGAGTTAACCACAAAGTTTTTGTTTTGAATAAATTCTGGAACCCGGAGCACTTTTCTGGATGTATTTTGTAGAAATGATCTTACCCTCATCATTGGTTGATTTTCTATAAATCTCCTATTTGTTTCTATTTTTTCTCCTTGATTAATTATTTGGTGGTGTGTTATGTTGCAGGATAATGAGCACATGTGTGTCAGCTGTTTCCAATGGCCTTCGGAAACTTTGGACCCCTCCTGTTTTTCAAGTTCGTTTCCGATTTCACAAGGACAAAATTGAAGCAGGTCCATTGAAGAGAAGATATGGCTACACAGAGCAGGCTATATCCAAGGGTCTATTACCTCATGTTAAACATGAGAAACACATCCCTGGGCGTCAATTCATCCCCGCCGATAATTGGACTCCAAAGAAAGCGTTATTTGGTCAAAATGACTACATAGATATTTTCACTGGTCGCATCCATCCAACTAAAGTCCTCTATGACGTACCTGCTTATCTACGAGGATTCAAGGGAAATGAATTTCAATGCCTGATGAGGAAACAGAAAATGCAGAAGCATGGAGAAATACCTTGGAAATATCCTAGTACATGGAGAGACATGAACAAAAGAATTGGTTGGTTATACAGGTACCTCAATCGGCATACCAGGACTTGGTCGGTCTATAGGAGTCGTATGAACTCGTAGGAACTGCAGCTAACTAAAATATGTTGTGTCCTCTTTCGCTATTTACCATGTATCTTCACAATAAAGTTGTATTAAACCTTTTATAAAATATATCTTTTCACCTTGGCCATGGTAGTAAGTGAGTTAGGTAGAAGGTTACTATAGGAAAAAACTCAGCTGTAGAGACATAAAATGTTTTAATTTACAATATCACAAAGTGACAATCTTATATAATATTTAGTTGATGAAGAAATTGATTCTAAAACTATAGCATTATGAAGCTACATTATACAATTAAGGTCAACCATATACTACACAGTTTAGCAGAGGAACTAAAAAAAGAGTGAAATCAAGACCTCGAGAAAAAGATGGGAAGCAAGACTGAACAGTTACATGGCCTGTAACAGGACGGGTCAAAAATAAAAAGAATGTGCACACATGAATACTATGTTAAAAATACCTAGGTAATCTTCATACAACTAAATTAAATGTAATTACTACTTTTCTAACTTGCTACAAATATTGAGAGACAAATACAACAGGTACACAATTTGAGAGGACCTAATTATAAATCTTAGCAAAACATACATTTAACCACTCATTCAACCACATCATACACAAGACAATTTACATAATCATAACCACACTTAAGCTGACGTTGCTTGCGGTGAAGGTTGCTGCTGTGGGTGGGGTGGTTGCAAATGTGGTGCAGGTGGGTGAGGAGCGGTTTGCTGCATTTGCTGCTGTTGCTGAGTCAAAGGTGAAGCCGGCGGTATACCTCCTTGATCATGTTCCATTTGCAGTCTCTGCTGAGCCTGCTGTCTTGCCCTGAATTCAGCTGCCTTCAACTGTTCAAGGTGGAACTGTTGTCTCTCTGTAATTAGCTGTTGACGCTGGTACTCTAGGCCCTCTCTTTCTCTTTCCATAGTGCTCTCTAACTCTTCAAAGTGTCTTAGTTTAATTTCAAGCTTCTTCATTTGTGTTTCCACAAGTAAAGCAACAAGGGATTTGATCTTACGTTCCTCAACAGCTGCCAGATGCTTGGCTTTCACTGCTGCAGCAGCAAGAGCAGCAGCTGCAGCTGACTGTAATTGAGCATCTTTAACAATCTTAGGCTTAGCTGGAACATCTTTAGTTTTTTCCTCATCCTTTTCCTTCTTTTCTTCATCCTCATCTCCTTCCTTCTTATCAATATCCATGGGCTCATCCTTCTCTTTTTCAGCATCTTTTTCTGAATCTTTTTTCTCTACCTCTTTCATTTCTACATCCTTATCTGTATCCTTCTCTTCCTTCTTGGTATCCTTAACATCCTTTTCCTTATCCTCTTTAGCACTCTTGACTGCTTTATCAACCTCAGACTCAGATTCTTTGTCCTTTGCATCTTCCTTTCCATCTTTCTCACTCTTTTCGTCCTCCTCTTTGCTATCTTTCTCATCTTTTTCCTTACCTTCCTTATCTCCATCTTCACCATCTTTCTTGTCCTTATCATCCTTTGATTTTTCCCCATCTTTCTTCTCTTTCTCTTCTTCATCTTTCTCAGGTTCTGTACCAGCAATACCAGTCTGCAACACAAAAAAGGAACAATTTATACTTAGACAGGACAGGAAAAAGAAAACTAATATCAATAAGACATAATTTTAAAATGTACCATAAGAAGGCCAGCAACAGGATCAGTCTTTCCCTCTGCAACAGCTGCCTCAACACTCTTCAAGTGTTGCTCTATAACATTAGCGGGCACTTCATCCTAGAAATAACAATAGAGGAATGTTACAACTTCTTCGCCACAGAGAGATTGCATATTGTATGAGAGGGCCTTTAGTGCAGGATAAGACTTTACCCAAACACTCAATTTCCACTCATGGACATTTTTCTACAAGCATTCTCTGCCTACACTTCAATACCAAAGAAAAGATGCAGAGGATTTGGAGAATACTTGAATACTTATTTACCGTAACTTAAAACCAATTTTAATGTACAAGAGGGCCTTTAATGCTGAGTAAGACTCTACCCAAACACTCATTTTCCCCTAAGTTTGTTCTACAAATATTCCAAGCCAACATCAATGACATCATTTGATGCAGGACAAAACAGAGAATATTTGACTATTGTATCTTGTTGTTAGATAGAATTAATGTTATAGTAAAATAATGTTACCTTGATGTTGGCAAACTCCTCCATGGCAGCCTTTGCAGCAGATGCAGCAACTCGTGGATCAACTACTGATGCCAAGAAAGCAACAGTGGACATGATAGGATTTCCAGCCTTACTGAACGGAATGGGTTGGTACGCCAAGGGACCAAGAGCACCTCCTATTTGAGAAGAACATAAACAAAATAGTAACTAATTAAGGAAACAGGACAGTGTTTCAGTTTATTTTCCTACAGCTAATTGACTTACCAGCTTCATGGTCCTCGAGGTAAGGGTCTTCAATAGGTAAACGCAAGAAGTGCAAGATGCACTCATCTTGTGTCCTGCTGCCAACATGTTCACAAACTTTGTTCCAGTCATCCTTGTAGAGTTCAAGACCTTCAAGCAGCAGAAGAGTTTCCTGATAAGTCCAGTCACGGGTCATACTAGCAGCAGTCTTGTTGCGCAGTGCTGCTGGTTTCCGAGCATACCTGATAAATTGAGGGAAAGGGAAGAGGATTTAAGTATTAAAAAAGAAAGAGGCAATGAAAAACAAAAAAAGACAGGAACAGGTCTACTTACTGGTCAAGTTTTAGACCGAAAATGCTTCCTGGATCTGCATCAGATTTCTTAGGAATTTCTTTTTTGTCCATATCCAGAAGAGTTTTAGCAGCAGATGGTTGTGGAGTTTTAGGTGGGTTAACAGGCTGCAATCCACTCGGTGTATCTGCCAAAACATGGAAGTGGGAGGTGGGCGGAGGACCCATGGGAGTGGGTCGGCTGTCAACATCCACCTGGTAGTTGATAAGACCCCACTGCTCTAAGAAAGCATGAACGCGCATGATGGCGCACACATCACCAGCCAGGTTCCGCCTGCAAGCTGTGCTAGTTATATACTCAGTGGGGTTTAGTCTGTATGTATCAATCATGAAGTTGCGGTAAGCCAGATAGATTTCAGGTGTCTTGCTTTTGTTCTTGCCATTGAAAAATTCTGGAAGAGCTCTCTTCTCAACAGTATGAATAGCATTGTAATCGAACCATGCTGAATAGCTTGGAATTATTATGTGGTGAGTTTGCTCAGTCACATTGTCCTCTTGGTCATCTTTCAAAGTTCCTTCCTAGAAGAACAATAAAATTGGAAAGTTAAGAAATCAGATCACTCAAGAAAGTTGTAAGTGACATAAAGTATAAAGTGTGCTAAAATAACTGACGTGGACATACTTGGGTGTCTGAAGCTTTTCCCATTTGGCTGTCCTCGTTCTTGTCACCATCATCATCTAAATCATGAACTGTTCCACCCTTAACAGGCTGAAGGTCACTATCTTTCTTGGAAGAAAGCGCTGGGGAGCAAAAGGAGTTTTCACATCATGTTAGTCAAACTGAAGTTACTAATAAGACAAAAAATTTCTGTGAATGTACATTTATCTGAGACCCCTGAGACCCAATGTATTGATTCATACCTGGCTTGCTAACATTAACTTCAGACACATTTGGCTCAGCAGGAGGATCATCCATATCCTTGGTCAGATCATCATCATCATTATCCCCTTTGTGTTTTTTGCCAACAACAACAGCAGGGCTGCGACCACTAAAATAAAATAAAAAAATTAAGCAATGAGACAACACACAGGTGATGTTTAGCCCAAGTTGTGCAGTGTTCATGTCTGTAAGTTCTGGAACATTTCACATTTCAGGACAGATACCTTTTCCTCTTGCCTTTCGGTGGAGGGCTAGGTGAACGTTTACGCTTCGGCTTGCCTTTCTTGTTTGACGGATCAGATAAACTCATTACATCATCAACAGAGATGCGTAACTGTAAAATTACAAAAGATTATTTTCTTGATTACTTTGAACGAATACAAAAACATAGAAATAGACTTAAGTGATGTGCACAAAATCTTGGTAGTACCTTATGAACTTTCTTTTTGCCAGCCTCATCAACTTCATAGTCTTCTTCATTCATCCATTCATTGTACTGCTCCATTTCAATGGCCCAGTTAGCACCAACCTAGAAAGACATGGATTATAATTAGTGATAAATGTGCAAGCTTTCAATTAAGGCCGACCAAACACTCACCCTCCACGCTTCAGTGTGTGGGGCTGGTGAATCAGGAGGATCCACGGGTAGCTCAACACTATTCCACGAATCATAGCTGTCCGGGAAATAGTACCAATGCATCATAACCATTCGGTCCCGGCGAAGAACTGGGCGAGCATACTCTTCATCCAAAGGATCACAAATAGGGTAGACAATGTGTGAGGCTTCCGACTCATTTTCTGATTTAAAAAAAAAAATGGCAAGTTTAGTAGAAGAGAATTAAAACATTAATTTAAGAAATAAATGCAGCACTTATTTTATCTACAATGGTTGTGATTTTGCTTTTTACCTGTGATATTTCCCTGATGTTTTTTAACAACTTCTTTAACTTTCTGAGCTGTCTGCTTGTCAACATCTGGTCTCACAAAGACATTAGGAGGAGAAAACACTTTAGATGCATTTAATGCTTTCTCTACTTGTCCCATCATCTCAATATTCCGCTCTAAACGTGATGGAGACTGCAAGTCAAAGCGACGCCATCCTTGTTCACTTTTAAACTTATACATCGTTGAAAGAATATGACAAAGTGCACCACCAGGTTTCATATCGAGAAAAAGCTTCATCTAGAAAATATTAATTGGATTAGTGAAAACGTTAATTCAGTTTCAATCTAACATATTTCTAATGATAAAATGAAGATCTCCAGCTTACAGGAAGGCGAGTGTGCTGTGGTTTCTGAGTGTTTTTACCAAAATTGTCTTCTTGAAACTGTACAAGTGATATTAGAAGAGACGAAAGTCCCTTGTTGGTCGGAGGATCTGTTTGAATGTACTGGAAAATAGTAAAACACAAAACTTTGCTATAATGGTTGGAAAACCCATCTTAACTCAAAAATGCGACATTGAGAATAATTATAAGAAACAAAGGTATGACAGGGAGGCAAAGAAATACCAATAACAATAGCCAGCAGCATAGGCTGTGCCCCCCCCCCCCCTTTCCCCTCTCCCTTTTGAAAATCTCCAGTAAGGTTAGAGTATAGAAAAGTAAAGGTAGGCTAAACTGCCCGTAGGAAATTGTGAACTGGCCATTCGGATCTAAAATGGCTAATAAAATTTAAAGCAGAAGCTACGTATAGTAAATAAACAAATAAATAGTACCAACGCGGGGTATAGGTTGGACGCAACCCGGGCGGCTTCACAAGAGAGCATTCATACTAACCTTCTTCGCATTCTTCTGGAGCCAAGTTTTGACTCCATCCAAAAGAGAAATAGTCTCAGGTGACTCGAAGAATTTGGCGTTGGGGCTCCCATCTTTTTTGGGGCTCAAGATGTTCATTTTGGACAATAAATAAATACACTGACGCTTCTCTCCCGGTTAATGGCGCACCCCGGTGTTTTTCGTTATTGTTTTTTTTTTTAGGATCGATTGATGAGGTTTGCCAACAAAACAAATCGAAAACAAATTAAGGAGTATTAATTTGACAAGTCACAAAACAAAACAACAATCTTCTGAGTTTGAATCTTTTTCGAATGAGGGTACAGTTTCAGCAAGTAAAATTTTTATGTACAATCGTTAACTTCAGATTGTTCTTTTGTGTTGCTGTTGGTACACTATTGGCGCCCGATGTTCGAAACATTTCAAATCAGTTCCGGAATGTAGCTTGAGAAAGGGCCGCCTTTTCTCAAGAATGTAGTTTCTCCCTTTTTCCCAATTGTACTTCGGACAGGCATTTTTTCTGTAACATATGCCATCACTCTTGCCAGACTGGGCAAATTTTGACAATGACATTACTGGTGTCATTTTCTCAAAACTGCTGGGTACACGTGTACACGCGTACTTGCTGGGTAATGAATTAAAACACTTTTTCTTTCATCACATTTCATTTATTTGACATGGCAAACTCAAGAGCACAACATTGTCATGTTGTTATGTCTTTACATAGCATTACATGGATACAAATGTCATACCAACAACATTTAATGATAGAACCTTGAGTCAGTTCAAAACAATAATACAAAACATAACATTATAAAACCCTAAAATACAGAAAAGAAAAAAATTGAGTGAAATTTTTCATTAAGATTCTGTGCAGGAAAAATTAACATTTTGACAGTTACAATAAATAATGAGAAACAAACAAGCTGACACAGTTAAGACTTTGTAAAATAATTTGATCATTTTTCCAGCCTGCAAATGGCATTGTCTTTCACCATTTGCAAATCAACCTTGGGTCCAACAAGATCTCTGATGTTATTAAGGCCGTATTTAATCATTGTTGGTCGTTCTAAGGAGAGGCCCCATGCTATAACATTAACATTCTCTGGAAGTCCCATAGGTAACAACATCTCTGGCCGGAACACTCCAGAATTTCCAACTTCAATCCACTTTCCTAGACCGTTGTGGTAACAGAAAATTTCCATACTTGGTTCTGTGTATGGGTTGTAAGCAGGCTTAAATTCAAGCTGAGTTATGCCTAATTTCTTGAAGAATTCATATAATATACCAATAAGGTCTCCTAAAGTAAGATTGTAGTCTGCAACAACACCCTCAACTTGATGGAACTCTGCAAGATGAGTAGCGTCCAGAGTCTCATTCCGGAATACTCTGTCAATACTGAAGTATTTGACAGGGCGGAAACCTTCTTGGGCCAATCTGTACAGCATTCTTGCACTGACAGCTGTTGTGTGGGTCCGCAACAAGTTCTTCTGAGCTTCCTCAATCTTCCAATCATAGCCGTATCCTTGAGAACCAAAGCCGCCAGAGCTATGAACTTTCTTTACCCTTTCAAGGTAATCACTAGGGAAATTATTACTCTTCTGGGGATCGGACAGGAAAAATGTATCATGAGCATCTCTTGCAGGATGTTGCTGCGGTTGGAACAAAGCATCAAAATTCCAGAAGGAGCTTTCAATAAAATTGTTGGTAGGCATTTCGGTAAAGCCCATTTCAAGAAATATGTTACGAAACTCCTTTCGAACTTTCAGTAGAGGATGTAAGTGACCACATTCCAGGGGGGTACCAAGAGCATCTAAATTGTAAGGTTTGAATTTCTTTTCTTTCCACGATCCTGTTGCTATCATCTCAGGAGTGAGATCAGTTTCCAATTTTTGCAAAGACAAAGAGAACTCACTGCCTTTTTTGAGAAGAAAGCTTTTAATAACAATTTCTTGAATGAGTTTCCTTTTCTTGAAATCTTGCTTCACTGGATCCGCAACATTTCCCACTTGGCCTTCATCAATCAGACGGAGATTGTCCCGAACTAAATCCTTAATTTCGGACACCTTACGTATGACCATAGGAGTGCCTTTGCTTTTGTCAACTGCAATCCAGCCTGCAGACATTGCTTTGCTAAAGCCAATCTTGGCATTCGGAACTGACTTCATGATTTCAGCTTGAGCAATACCCTCAGATGGTACTGCCTGATACACTAGGGCTTCATGACTCCCATTTGCTACAACACTTTTACCTTCATCAGTCAATTCTAATTTCTTTGAGCTTTGTGCTTCAGCGATAATCACATCACCAGAGGCAAGAATACTCTTGACAGCTCCAATTACCTTCTGGTGGTCTTCCTGTAACACTCCTGCTACATCCAATGTATCGATCTCACCCTTATCCCCAATGAGAGCGAGGATCTTCTCTACTATTTCCGTAGCCATTGTAACGCACGTTTATCTATTATATCCGGTCGTCTAGAACAAATTGAAGTAATTATGTAAATGATGAAACAACTTTCATCGGTGTCATAACCTTACACCAGCATCTGCTCTCAAGCAGCGACCCCGGCCACGAATCCATCCGCATCATGCATCATTCATATCAACAAGGCATGAGGATGAGAGATTTCAAGGAACACACAACGGAAAAGGATGTGCACACTACCACGAGAGTGCGAAATTTCGTAGGCATCGTGCGTACAAATGGTTTTATTAAACGGTCTACATCAACAGGCGAACGATATCTGTATTCAAGTGTCTGGGGATAAAAATGAGTATAGGGTTTTAAGACATTAAAAAAATTGTGAACATAAATACTGTTTCTTTCGGAAATTTTTATTTTCAAAAGAAATACAGAAATAATGGAATGAATTTCTTTCATGCTCCATTCAAATAAAAACTGTTAATACTAAAAACAAAGATATTTTAGGGAGGTAAAGTTGAGGATGAAAATTCTTACATACACTGATAAATTCACATCAGTCAAACCAGTCCTGTCACTGATAGAATATTGTACTTCAGATTGATGAATAACTAACTGCCAAAATGAAAAACATATAGGGCAACCAGGCCACAAATTAAATAGGGCAAAATAAAACAAACCATATTACACTCAAAGACACAAATCACAGAAGTCAGAAAATGCTAGTGTTTGAAAGAAGTGGGAAGTACCATAACAAATGCAGGAAAACCTCAGACATGTAAAAGTGTTAACTCATAAACCAAACTTAGTCCACAAAAATAACCAGATAACTAAGCTAGTTCAATGAAATACCCCTTCAAAATGACTAACACACATTTCACCAATACCATATGTTCCAAGAACTAAAAGGCCAAGGAATTACATTGAAGCAGTCTCTTGTACTTATGCCAAAGGCAATCAATTACACTGCTACCTCTTTACACGTCTCATGAATCAAATTCAACTAGTATGGCATTCACTTAAAACATGAAGCTATTGCAACTTAACATGATTTCACAATGAGGATACATTGGGCAGAAACAAGAGTAACTTGCAGTTTTGAAGCTCGTCATTTAAGAATTACCTAATACAAAGGACTTCACGATCTGTCAACATTTAAGATGCTCAAACAAACATTTCTAGTGTATAATGAACAGAAACATTAAAAGTGTACTTCAAAATGTGGTAGAAAGAAAATAGATTTCAACATGACACAAAAATGATGCACAGCACACAATTAATACATTAGGCAAAAATGAAAGAGCCTGATAACAGATAGATAGTTGACATGAAATTGATTAGTATTTACGTAAGGAGTTTAATGGAGCCTTGTAAGCGTCAAAACGATCACTACTATAGCTACTACTGTTGCTGATGCCCATCTGCAGTGCAGAAAGTGCCCCAGGAGTAACACTTTGAGTACTGCTATAAAGAGGGCCACTGGTCAGAGGACGACTCCCAACCCCAAGTGCACTGCTACTGCCAACCCACCTAAAAAAATAAAAATTTTGCCAGTTGTAAGAAAAACAATTAAAAGAAAAGTGTCCATATAAACCACTCATGATATACGCACCGGTCAGAAGATCCAGACTCCATAGGTCGACTCCAGCTGTTTGTTTCTTTCCTCTCCCAAACACTACTACTAATATCTCTAACGCCTAAGCCAACACTCATATTGTTAAAAGGTTTTGAGGCTGTAGGTCCACTGCTACTACTGGAGTGCCAGGTATCTCCTCTATCACTGTACCGGCCACCATCTGAAAGGAAAATTATCATTATTTTCTGCATATTTTTAGGACTATTTGTGCATTTGATGTAGAAATTTACCCCTAATGGAATCGCTCTTTGATCTATCACTGTAACGGTCCCTCGGGTCACGGGCATCCATCTTCGATCGACTATCTGGTTCTGGTCGTCTGTCATCCCGACGGAATGAGCTGCTCGTGTTTCTATCATAGCGGCTGCAAAGTGTTATGAACCCGCATATTAGCTACGCATGTAACGCAAAATGTAAAATAAAAGTAACATACAATTCCCATCAGCACACAGGGTGGGGTAGGGTGGGTGGCAAACTCCGTCAGAGCGATTGGGAGTAATAGCCAATAGCTCGGAGGCAGCCGCGCCGGTGGGTTGTCTATACGCTCGAAGCCGAAAGGCGTCGTGGTTAGACACGATAGGCAAACCCATCCGCCATCTGCACGCGAACTAGTGTACTCATACATTCGCTCCGACGGCACTCGGCACCTACCCAGCATGAGACGTGTTAACTGAAAAGTTGACTTAAAATCATAATTTTTGTCTCACTTGTCCTTGGCTCTTGTGGGTGATGGACGACGGGTAGACTGGAGGTCACTGTGAGTCCTTGGAGGTGGAGCATCTCGTCCAGGACGCGACAAAGTGCGAGAATCCTCGTGGGTGCGACGTGGAATGCTGGCGGTTGTCGTGGTACGAGTGAAGTCTTTCTTGAAATCTGAGGACCTGTCGTACATTACAAGAGTGGTAAGACAGAGATATTGTATGGAATAATAAGTTATCAAGTATTCAATTTAAACAAAATTTGAAGGGAAAACTGGTTTAGAATTCTTCAAAGAACTGTTAACATGCTTTTGGTAAAAAGCAATCGAGACCCAAAACAGCTTTAGACTAGCAGTGATGGATAGGATGAAGGCCAAAGCAAACCATCAATAACAATATTTAGCGCAAAGCAAAAACTGGACAAATACAATCCACGAAACAATGACATTAAGCTATAATTGATGTTCAGTTTGAAAGAGTTTTGAACTATGCACATTTTATTTTTGTATTTTTTAATGTCTATTGTGGGTCTTCTCACTTTTAGTGAGTTAATAATCATGAGAGGAAATGACGCTGGTCAACAGATCCATGTAGCAAGACATTTTTTTGAAAAATAGATACAACTTTATAGCAAATAAAATTCTCTAGCTGATAATACCTTGAATCATGCTTATTGGTCGACTCAGGGATCTTCCTAGACTTGTCGGCCTCCCTTACTTTGCTTTCATACTGAACTCTACGACACACAAGCAAGAAGAAATTCATCACACATTGACAAACTCAGATACTGGTACAATTTCATTTCGATCACCTACTCAAGTCAGTCACAGAAAAAGAAAATTATTGTCAATACTACACTGGGAGAGTGGGGAGGGGAAGAAGCACAATCCACATAATTGATGTAACAGGGTACACACAAAACTGAGATGCATGAATGATGATCAACAAAAGTAAGATATTAAAACATTTAAGTGCAATGTAATAGAAACTAAAAAAACCTTCCAGTGCAGCAACTTTTGGAGCCTGTCTAAGAAATTTGTATACCAAACTTAACAAACAACCAACATTCTTACTTATAAGCTAGCATAAAGCCAATATGTATTTAGCCGTAAATTGAGTCTGACAGATTAGCTCTCTACATCTATCTAGAGCACGACTTCAAAGGATTGGAGGCACGGCAATAAAAGGCATTGTTCTAACCTGGAGTCAGGAAAACGTGGAGGAGGTTCATAGCGATCTCGTTCTGTGGCCAATCTCTTGCGGTCATCGGGGTAATCCCTAGCTCGGTCGTCTGGAGGTCGTTTAAGGTTCCTCCTAGCTTCTTCAAATCTATGCAATGGAAAGTAATAGTGTAATTTAGTTGATATAAATATAATGCAGTAACATAACAAAGGCCATGCGCACAAAATATTCCTAAACATACCTCAGCTGTTGCAGTTTCAGCTCCTCTTTCTCCCTTTCTAATCTTTCCCGCTCCAAACGCTGTCTATCCCTTTCCAATCTCAAAAGTTCAGCCCGCTCCCTTTCAATAGCTTCTCGCTCGCGGCGCAGCTTTTCACGTTCCCTGTTGACAGAAGTACGCATGCACTGTAGTGATGAGGTGGCTAAAGCCTGCATACACTTTTGTTATGAGGTGTGTACAGAGTATCAGTCAAAATCAGTCAGGACCAAAAGGGCATGGGATTAGAAGTATTGGAAATCATAGCATACCTCTCTAGCCTAACAGATTCTTCACGCTGTTTACGTTCAATCTCTCTTTGACGTAGAGCTTCATCGCGTCGACGTCTTTCTTCTTCCCTAAGCTCTCGTTCTTTTTCGCGTAAACGGTGTCTTTCACGCTCTTCCTGCAAAGTGGAGGGATATTTTTAACAATCATGATTCTAGAACTACATAACAGGCATTTTTAAAACCACATCAAATCATGAACCAGGCCCAGTTTAACATACCCTTATGTGAGTGAAAGTTAGGACATCAGGTTTACGAGCAGGTTGAGGAGATGACCTAGTCCTTGAATGACTGCTTCCTTCGCTCCGCCTTCTGTCCCTGTCCTTTCTTTCGTTTTCACGCCTCTCTCGTTCTCTGTTTCGTGCCCTGTCTCGAGAGTCATCACGGGTGCGAGCTGGTTGACTTTTGTCACTACCTTCATCTTTCACATCTTTTTCCTCCTTTAACTTGTCACCACCCTCTGTTGATTCAGCTTCAGTACTCTTTTTCTCCTCTCCTTCTTTTGACTCTCCATCTTTCTTAACATCTTTTCCTACACAGAAGTAAACAATTACTAAATGTATTGGACAAAACACAAATTCAGTCAGATCTGTTGTAACAATGACTCACTAGATTCATCTTTCTTATCATCAGCGGATGCACTGCTAGTGCGTTCACGCTTCCTGTCATCAGATTTCTTATCAGCGCTGTTGCTACCAGTACTGCTGCTAGATTTGCCATCACTTCGTTTGGGTGGACCCGTGGAATCGCTTTTAGCCTATAAAAACGAAAGGAGAGTGTTGTTATAAAGAGAGACAAATTTACATGGTTGATTGTACTGGAGTGCAGACTTAAATAACATACTCTTTCAACAGAAACTAAGCGCCCATGAAGTTCTGTGCGGTGTAAGTTTTGAATACATTTGGAAGCATCTTCACTTGATCCCATCGTCACATAGCCATAACAGCGAGCACCAGGGGTTCTTGCATTAGTGACAACTTTAGCACCAACAACCTAAACAACAACATAGATTGAAAACAAATATCGGAAAAACACACACATGGTGAGCAGGCATCACAGTTTTAAAGTCATTACCTTTCCATACTTGGAGAATACTTGTTTAAGGTCTGTTGCTCTGGTGGAGGAAGATAAGCCACTAACCCACAAATGTCGGCTGCTGCCGCTACTACTGCTGCTACTGCCCCCACTACTGGATTTCTTCGACTTATCTGTAACAAATTGGAGGTTTAGACGCAAAAGAAATTCAAATACAGTGAATTTTATTGAAAGAAACAACATTAGCATTACCTTTATCATCTTTTGGTGATTTAAGATCACTAGAGCCACTGCTGTAAAAATAAAGCAAAGCATATTGTTAAAAATGGTCAAATTTCATATTTAAGTTTAACATACATGCATTTATTTGTCTACACTACCCTAACAAATTATATTACTGAATAACTATAGAAAAACTGAATCTAATGAACATTTTTTCTATCTTTGTTTAAGTAGAAGGAGGCTGATGTTAAATAAAAGACAGGAAATCTTCTGGAAGAAAGTCATAACATTATGTGTGTCAGCTTAAGACAAGTATGAATCAAAAATTGTAAGCTGATGTCTCATGGCTGTGAGTAACAGATGAGTTGTGGTTGTGACTGGGGATGCTGAACTGGTGATCTAATTCTTCATAGTGAGGACAAGACAGGAACATTCGCCAAATCACAACCCCTGATTTCTTTCATAGGCCACACATAGAGGTATGATCAGTACTTCGAATAGCCATTTAACGAGTAAAATGACTCTGTAACAGAGAGCAAGGGCTGTTGGTTAAACTTTCCCAGTTGTAAAAAATAACCCTGTTTTACCAAGGAAATCAGCTGAGAAAATCACAGCTCAGCTCACAGTTCATATCAAAGGGGAACTTCTCAACCATTCACCCACTCCCTGAATTATTTGCAAAGATACCACCCACCATGACGCTTGCCATAAAAAAATTGGCAAGAAACTTCCCAAAAATTAGTGCAGTAGAAAACATATAACACAGTCCCAACCCGGAGGATTAATCTTTTTTTCCTCTTTCATTCAGTGTATACCACAGGAAGATTCCACTGTCGGCAACACTTAGAAGACATCTTGCCGCTGCTACGTAGGAACTCGAGCCACGGATCGCCAGGCGCAGCCACGCCCATCTCCAACGCCATGCAGAACCGCACGACGGGTCCGTCCGCTCCCCGAAGTCGAAGCCAGCAGCATGGATGGAGTGGACAGTCGGAGTACCGCGCCGGAGGTGGAGGGGCCCAGCCGGGGAGTGGCCCATGGGTACGCCTCGGCCAGGCTGACCGGGCTCGTCGACCGAGCAGGGGTGGGTGGGTGACAAGTTGTGGTGCTGAATACAAACCTCTTGCTCTCTTCCTTGCGATCTTGGCTCTTGTCCTTGCTGTCCGTGCCACCGTCTTTCTTCTTTAGATCTCCTCTCTTGTTGATGCTCTCATCTACATGGGAATCAGTAAGGGTTATTTATTAAGCCAGTGAAATATTTGTCGATCCGCGCCAAGAAGAATGGTCTTCACATTTAAGTCGGCCACCCTTAGCCCACTCGGCCAGGCTCGGTCTGGACTAAGTCCAAACTTAGCCTGGTCACAGTTGGTTCAGCCCCACCCAGCCAGCTTAGCACAGCTTGGCTCAGCTCATCTGATGAAGTTTCTTGTTGCAGTCCCTCCAGATGCCGCTGCACACGCTGGCAAATACGCAGACATGAGGAGAAGATGGTTTCTGTCTGACGACATCTCCACACCAAAAGCATCTCCCATAGTTAAATGAATTTAAGAAACATCATTTTTAAAGATCTACATGGAAAGTCAGTTTGATGAAGCAAACTAATTGACAAAACAGATGGGTGATAAAACTTTAGGAACAATTAGATAGATAGAAATACTGACAAATACTTTGCAGAGAAGACAAAATTCAGAGTTTAAAGTGAGGATTGCAGTAGGCAGACCATAGCCAGTACTGTCTTCTTGAGGGTTGCATGGCCGCATGAAAAATATTCATGTGTGTTGTTCCATTAATGGTTGGCACAAATCATGAGGATTTGGTTTAGATGGTGATGTGCGATGTAGTGCTGGCAGATCTTCCATCCACGGCAACGCCTCACTTTGGTGGGTCCACCACCGTCCCGAGATGCTGCGTCTGAAGTTCCTTGGCTTCCTTTGTTGTAGTCCTTGTTGGTAGCATGTTGAAAACTGATGCAGCTAATCATCTTGTCTTGCATTTAAATTGCATTGGTCTGCCTACTGATCCTCACAAGCAACAAAACTAAACTGATAACAAACAAAGAAAATTTGCCTTGAAAGGTGCTAAAGCCAACATCAATTTTACCTTTTGAATCCTTGTCTTGAATACTGTTTTCCTCCTGTAAAAGATCCAAAAGAATATTGGGGTTAATTACTTTTAAAAGAGCAAAACATAAGAGTAGTACAACACATTTGTCCAAGAAAGAAATGTAGATCAACAGTAAACTTGCACTTAATACCTCTTCTGTCAAAAGCTTCTCTTCATCTTCACCAATTGTTAGATTGATTGAATCCTCATTATCTATGCCATTTGACTCTGGTTGTGCCTTATCACCATCCTCCTGTTGAGTATTGGGGGTCTCCTTATCTTCTGGAACCTACGTACATAAGAAGGTGTAAGCAAAAATTCAATAAAAGCTAAAGCATCAATTAATTGTTATCCCAAAAAGGACAAACCTCCTCTGTAGGTGTTTGTTTTTCAAGCTTGTCTTCATCATTTGCTGGATTAGGCTTGGAGGTGTCATTGGTTGATGAATCATCAGGTATTTTTGCAGATCCACCGACTCCCTCTCCATCCGTACTACTGGGATCCATTGGCGTGTCAGCACTGGAATCTTCAGGAGGCACAACAGACTCGGTTTCACCGTTCTTCACTTCTTCAACCTCTTGTTGAGGCTCGTCGGTAAGACTATTATCTAATTCTTCTTCTTCTAAGAATTGAACAACACACAACAGATTTAGTAAATGCTGAAAAAAGTCACAAGACAGAAAAATCCTTGAAGCTGGAAAAGAATACTGACTGGATCCACTTAACCGCTTGGTTTGTTTCTTATCTGGAGATCCTATGTCGAAAATATATTCATCAGGATTGTGGCCTTCCTCAATAAGTACCTACAAGGTACAGAGAAAAGAAAACCGATTAGACACACATGAAAATACAAGCAGCTTGGAGTGCTGTAAAAGAGATGCTAATTTCCGAACTGGACCAAGAATTATGTGCACAGAAAGGAATGGCATTTGCATACTAATAATTTATCAAAGTCGACTGGGTAACCTCGAAATTCTACAGAAGGCAGAGGAAACACGGGGAAACAGGCTGAAGGGCTGAAGGAGGCTGAAGTCAAGCCAACTGAGTGTCAATTAACCATTGAGTTAAACAGAAAAATGAATTTGTAACATGAGCTTCAAAAGCTGCAGAAGAAATGGAGATATAGGGGTCAAAGAACTGTATGGGATGGGAGAACAGATATTTACGACGAAAAAGTGGGACTAAAATAGTTCCCTGCAAATGGCGACGGTCTAATCCAACAAACAGCAGGTCAATGAAACGTACGATGTATACAATTCCTTACCTTGCGCAAGCGATCACTTAATGTGTTCTTCACTCCTTTGGTGTCCAGATTACGCTTTTCAAGCTCGTTTTTTAAGTCAACAACCCTCAAGTCTGACAATTTACGTCCTTCTCCATCGGACGCCATGATTGCCGGAGATGGCCGGAAAACACATACACTGACAATGCACTGCACGTAAACGACCTCGATTCCTTTGACGTCGTCCACCACGGCCCCAAAGATTCTTTCAGATCAGCAGACAACAGACAACCAACAGACAACAGACTCTCGCTCGCTGACTCCAGCTAGTCCCGCTGTTTGCAGATAGCGCTTGCTTCGCGTAGATGCCGATGCAGATGCAAAGCGAAAATGGCGGATGAACAGGTGAGCTCCAAACAAAATGCGAAATTGATTGATTACTCTCCATTTTTGTATTAACCGGCCCAGATTAAGGGGTCCTGCTGTCATACTTTAATTAGAACACTTGCTGTGTAAAATCCGGCGACAACCATCTCGTCCTTGTCGGTCTGAACGCGCGGTTGTGCTGCTTCATTTTCTCTTGTTTTATGCCTTATAAACGCTAGATTTTTAAGGATTTATCTACTTAAATTCTTACACCAAGTTGAGGTGTTTGATCGTCACACATTTCCGGCTAGGAATTATCTAATTTCTTCTTCTGTCAGTTTTCCAATCTTAATTACCATAACCTTCCTTTGATTAACTTGTCTGTTCCGTCTACTGGTTCGTTGCGCCGTACGCCCCGACTCAGCCTCCTGTAGGCCACTTTATTTTGTTACTATTTGCATTGCTGTTTTTGAAAGTTTGTGGTGAAGTCTGTCTGTTGATTCGCGTCATTAAGTCGCTCAAGATCTTCTTTCTTTAGGCCTTGAACATGTTTCTCATACTGTTGTTGTGAAATGTCAGTTTTACTTCGAATGAAGATAACAACAAAGTTCGCAGCGAAATGGTACTCATAAATACTTCAACACTAACTCTTTTCCTCTCATATTAGTGTTTTGAAATAACCCAAACATTCCCAGTTTTGGTTTGTCATCACTTGTCCGTTTAAATTTGTGTAGACAGTGAAGCAATACAGTTTGTTGTAAGCATAACCTCCACATTAGGTCAAAGAGTGTTTTGATTGTGCACCGTTCAGTTACACATGATTTTGTTTGAATGGGTGGACATGCATCAAGTAATGAATCCATTCATGTAGTCTGTTAAGTTTACTTTATAGATTTGTTTCAATTCCTCCTACACTCCCACGTCGAGAGAAAAGTCAACTGTTAATACAACCCTTTCTTTTTTGATTCAGGAGGTGCGGCAATTGGAGTTGCTCTGCAAACAGTTGTATGAATCTCAAGACTCATCTCAACGTGTAGAGGCTGAAAAGGCTTTAGTTGGTTTTCAAAATGCCCCCGACACACTGTCCAAGTGCCAGCTCCTACTGGACCGTGGAGATTCTCCCTATGCTCAGCTCTTAGCTGCTACTACACTTACCAAACTTGTGTCCAGATCAGCTCAAGGTTTAAGTCTGCAACAAAGAGTTGATATTAGTAAGTATCAAGCTTTACAAATACTAGACCTCAATGTTTTACTTAATTCATGATAATTTAATCCTTTACTTATCCTCTAGGGAATTACATTCTCAATTATTTGGCCACACGCCCTAAACTGCCTGGATTTGTTATCCAAGCTCTTGTCACTCTTTTTGCTAGAATATCAAAGTTAGGTTGGTTTGATAATGACAAAGATGAGTTTGTGTTTCGCAATGTTGTCAGTGATGTGACAAAGTTCCTACAGGTTAGTTTTTTAAGTAATATTTTTCGTCATGCTGTCATATATCTGTTTCATATACATCTGTTTTTACTCATTATTTGAATTTTCAGGGGTCAGTTGAGCACTGCATGATTGGAGTTCAGCTACTTTCACAGTTAACATGTGAAATGAATCAAATATCTGAGGCAGATGCCAATCGTTCATTGACTAAACACAGAAAAATAGCATCTTCGTTTCGTGATACTCAACTATTTGAAATCTTCCGACTGTCTTGCACTCTTTTGGGAACAGCTAATGAAAATTGCAAAAGCCTTAATTTTAATGATGAAGGGCAGGTGAGAAATTCAGTGAATGTTAAAACTGTCCATTGAATCATTCTGTTCTGCTTTGTTTTCAAATTGATTATTCTTATTTCGATTCATTACAGCATGGACTTCTTACTCAACTTTTAAGATTAGCACACAACTGTTTGACATTCGACTTTATTGGAACCTCCATGGATGAATCATCTGATGACCTATGCACTGTCCACTGTCCAACAAGTTGGCGCCCAGCTTTTCTTGACTTTTCAACCCTCAAACTTTTCTTTGATTTGTATCATTCCTTACCATCCACTCTCTCACCATTGGTAAGTGCTCAAGAGTAAAAGTTAAATTAATCACACTCTTGCTGCGTGTCTGATTTTATTTTTTTATTCCAGGCGCTCTCATGTGTTGTGCAAATTGCATCAGTGCGGCGTTCACTATTTAGCAATACTGAACGTGGAAAGTTCCTCACACATCTTGTCAATGGGGTCAAACAGATACTTTTGAACCCTCAGGTCTCTTCCACAATCATGCTAATATGTTTCTCAGTGTATAGCTTTGTCTAACTTGTTTGTTTTTTTCAATTTTTTTAGGGGCTGAGTGATCCTAGCAACTATCATGAATTTTGTCGCCTTCTTGCCCGTTTGAAGTCTAATTATCAGCTGGGTGAATTAGTTATGGTGGATAACTACCCAGAAGCCATTCAGCTGGTTGCTAAATTTACTGTTGAGAGTCTACAGGTACAGTTCCTTCCCCAGAAATATTTTTTAATTTACTAAATTTTCAGTTATCTAACAGGCTCGTTTTGCTTGTAGATGTGGCAGTTTGCACCCAACAGTGTACATTATCTTCTCAGCCTTTGGCAAAGAATGGTTGCTTCAGTGCCTTATGTTAAAGCCACTGAACCACACTTGCTTGAGACTTATACCCCCGAGGTCACCAATGCCTACATTACCTCACGCTTGGAGTCTGTAGCTGTTGTTGTGAGGTATGAAGCACTGTTCTCATTTTGGAAATGTTTAACTTCCCAAATCCCAAATCTTTTTAATAAATTGCATTTCACAACTTTTAATCCCTTTTTTCATCAAATTTAGAGAGGGCTTAGAAGATCCTCTGGATGACTTAGGCATGGTGCATCAGCAGTTAGAGCAGCTTTCTGTGATTGGTCGATGTGAATACCAGAAAACTTGTGCTTTGCTTGTCACTCTATTTGATCAAGCAGCTCAACTCTACCAAGAGTTAATAAACACTCCCTCATCAGTACAAATAGATATCTCAATCCAAGAAGGTAAAATGAAAAAAAAAATCTAAAAATTGTATTCTGCACTTTATTTTTTGTTTGTTTCTATTGTTGTAAAATTACTTGTATTTTCTGTTTAACCCAATAATTAGGTCGCTTAACATGGTTAGTATACATAATTGGCTCTGCAATCAATGGCAGAGTGTCATTTAACAGCAATGAGGAACATGATGCCATGGATGGTGAATTGGTTGTTCGGTGAGTTGATAATCAAATCTAATTAGACTATGCAAGTGAATTTTATTGTTAAATATTTGAGCGTGAAATATTGATACTGTTTTCAGAGTATTGCAACTGATGAATCTAACAGATTCTCGACTACCCCAGGGTGGTTGTGAAAAACTGGAGCTAGCCATGCTTAGTTTCTTTGAGCAGTTCCGTAAAATATATGTAGGCGATCAGGTGAGTCACCAACATTTGAAATTGTAAATGTTATATGTAACAGGAGTTTTATATTATTTTATACATCGTAGGTTCAAAAGAATTCCAAAGTTTATAGAAGACTATCTGAAGTTTTAGGGCTTAGTGAAGATTCTATGGTTCTCAGTGTTTTTATTAGGAAAATGTAAGTCAAGTCCATATTTCTTTTCTACTTTTTTGTCTTGCTTTGGTATGTTTTTGTCTCTTTCTATATCTTAAATTGTCTTATCCGTTTCAGCATTACCAACCTTAAATACTGGGGTCGAAGTGAACAGATTATTTCAAAAACACTTCAATTACTCAATGACTTATCAGTTGGTTACAGCTGTGTAAGAAAACTTGTTAAACTTGATGAAGTACAATTCATGCTTAATCACCACACTGTAAGTATTTATTTACAACGAGTTCATTTTTTGCCACGGCTTCATCTTATGATCTTTGTAGTTTGTGCTCGCCATGATTTTTGAGCTGTAGACAGTGTACCCAATTCATATGTTTCTTTCTTTTTTCTCTAACAGAGTGAACACTTTCCTTTTCTTGGAAACTCCGTGGCTGTGAGTGAGATGCGCTGCCGTACCATGTTTTACACATCACTAGGGCGGTTACTAATGGTAGATCTAGGGGAAGACGAAGATAGATTTGACCAGTTTATGTTACCTTTAACAGGTATTTTTTGTTGCATCCTTTTATTTGTCTTATTTGAATTTTTGTATATAGATGGATTTATCATGCATTGTGTGATTTCAGCTTCTTTTGAGTCAATAGGTTCGATGTTGGCTCTGGCCGAATCACCAATGTTTTCAGCTGAAGAGGCCAAGAAAGCTCTAATTGGTTTGGCACGAGATTTACGTGGATTAGCCTTTGCTTTCAATACCAAGGCCTCGTACATGATGCTGTTCGATTGGATGTATCCTTTTATTATTCTCTATTAAGCTGCTTAACACATGAAATTTGGAAATTTTATAAGAGTTGCTCTGCCTATATCTAGTGGTCACCAACTGTGTATCAATGAAGTTTCCTTGACCCCTTTAAAAGATACCCTGCTTACACACCTATTCTTCTGCATGCAATGCAATTGTGGTTTAGAGAGCCACAAGTGACTACACCTGTCTTAAAACTTTTCACAGAGCTGGTTCAAAACCGTTCACAAAGACTTGTATTTGATGTGTCATCACCAAATGGTATTCTACTGTTCAGAGAAGCCAGTAAAATAATTTGTAGTTATGGTAAGTGATACAGTTAATGTTTATCTGATCTTGTGTAATTTCACATTTGACCCATCAATGCATTGCTTGATGTAACTTTTTGCTTCTAATTTTAGGGCAAAACATACTGAATGTAGAAGTGAGCAAGGAGCAAATGTATCCAATGAAGTTAAAGGGTATATCGGTCTGCTTTTCCATGCTAAAGGCAGCTTTATGTGGCAGTTATGTGAATTTTGGAGTGTTTCGTCTCTACAATGATGAGGCCCTAGATGATGCCCTGAAAACATTTGTGAAATTGTTATTATCTATTCCACATACTGATTTGCTAGTAAGTACAATTCTTTACTTGCCTGCCAGTTCTAGAACAAAGAATGCTATGTAACTTAAATGTTTGTTTTTCTTCAGGATTATCCCAAGTTGTCTCAAACTTACTATCTTCTTCTGGACTGTCTAGCCCAGGATCACATGAGCTTCCTAGCCACACTGGAACCACACGTGTTTTTGTACATAATGTCATCCATCTCCGAAGGACTGACAGCAATAGGTGGGACTCTGAATCATTTCACAGGTACAGTGCAGCTAATGAGGAAAGAAAGCAAAATGAGACCAAAACCCAACATCAAATATAGAACAAAATAGCAGCACAATCCAAACAGCTGATGCCTATCTATTATTTTGAGTGCAAATTTTAAACTTTTGTTCCTTAGGAGGCTTGAAATTGCTCACTCTTCCAAATCAAATGATTAATTCCCTGTTTCATTCATCTCCTTCGACCCAAATGAAAAACAGTATCAGAAATTATGTTTTCTTTTCAAAGTCTAAACACAAGATCAAGTTAGTCATCAAGGTTTTGATAAAAAAAAATTGTCTCAAAGGAATCTTAAATCATCTCTGAACTCTCATCATCTTTGTGTTGTAAATTGATCCAACATTTGCACCAGATTGCATGACATGCAAAGTTTGGCCTTTGCTCCCTAACATAACTGGATTGCTAGCTTTTAACATTGTGTTAATACAGCAATTGAACTTCATCCCAAATTTGTCATGGTTGTCTTGTTTATGATTTCAAAAAGTCATCATACTGAATTTATGGTCTTAACTGAACAAAGCCACATATGACATGGTTCTGGATTGTCAAATATGGATTCAGTACCACTTTGATAAAGTTTGTTTTAATTTCAAATTAAAGGAATATTCAGCAAAGATGTAAAGGTACTGAATGACATGAACCCTCATAAACGTTAACTAAAGACACTGATAGCATACCAGAGAGCGGCATGAAATTTTGTGTAACATGTGTCAGCTTCTATGTAGTGAGTTATTTGCATGATAACCTGCATGACAGTTCCATGGCAAATTTATGTGCTTTCTCAAACTGAAGGACTGCTTTCTGCCCGCTTTATAGTGCAGAAAAAAATATTGTGGCATAGGGCCAGATGATCTCAGAAGTCTTTTCAAAGTATGATAATTTAGTTTACAGAAATGTAATAATTATGTTCTTATGTATTCTTGTGAGTGCAAAGCAATCTGTCAGGTTTTCCCCAGCCCATTCTTTATCAGGTTTTAACATCTTTATTGAATGGAGCTAAGTTTTTTTTCTACTGATACTGTTTTGGTTTGGTTTTGGATTCAAAGAGAGAACCCTACCAATGACCCCCTCTCCCCTCCCCCATTCAATTTTACTGTTTAATAAAGAGAAGTAGTGATCTATGTGCTGTTCATCCCTAGGTATTTCATGTGATTTGGGAGTTTTCAGTTGTGGTTTGCTCTCTGGTCTTCTCCGTGTAGCTGCACTGTGCTATATTCTTAGACTTAGTAATTTTTTTCCTTCTCATAACTTTATAAATAGATTTTTAGTAACAACATCAATTGTTACTTGTTGCACCTATGTATTATGGCAGGATGAAAGAACTTTTTATTGGTTAGTCTTCAAAATTTTGCATGCATGTTGCTTTCTACTTTTACCATGTGTGAGAATTCTGCTGTTGATTCATATTTCCAGGAAGCATCTGCACATAATTTGATTGAAGCGTGTCTATTTTGTTGACTTGTGTGCTGAAATACTATGTATAATAATTTTCCTGTCTTCTGTACATCAAGATGAACAAAATTAAGTAACTTTTTAACTACAAATTTCAGCTTTGCATTTAATGACAAAGAAATTTTTCCCATTAGAAAAAATCGAAATTCCTTAAATAATTTCTTTCATAGGAAGTAAGACCCCATCTACTTAACTCTGTTTTTTGTTTCCTGTCTAAAATATTAATTTCTATCAAATTGATCTGTTTTATTAGTGTGTGTTAAAGTATCTGTTTTGGATACAGATCTTCTGTGTATATCTGTATTTGTACTACTAGTGACTCCAAAATCAACTGTTATCAACTGAATTAACATTGCGCTACTTTTGTTCCAGACACAATGGTCTGCACCGGATGCTGTGCAACCCTAGACAACATTGTAACACATCTTTTTAAACAGTTAATACAAAAAGGTGAGTTCTTTGAAAATCGTTTTTGAATTATATAGTTTCAGTACTTGCCTTAACATAGCCCATATGTTCAATTTTTTAAATCTAGGCAAGAAGCCTCGCCGAGGTGTTCAACCATCTTCGGACATGTTTCTTCAAGTCCTGGAGCTACATCCAGAGATATTACAACAGATATTATCAACTGTTCTAAATACCATCATGTTTGAAGACTGTCGTAATCAGTGGTCAATGTCTCGACCATTGCTTGGATTGATCCTCTTGAATGAAGAGGTGAGAAAGTAGCATCTCATTCCTTTGCAGTGATCTTGTATTGCTTCAGTTATCTTATCTTACCACTTTTACTGTCTTACTTTTCAGTACTTTAATCAACTACGTGAAAACATCGTGAGGAGTCAGCCTCCAGATAAGCAAGCTTCCATGGCCCAGTGGTTTGAGAACCTTATGGATGGTATAGAAAGGAATCTTCTCACTAAGAATAGAGATAGGTATGGTTCTTTTAGTTGGCTTGTTGACACCATGTGTCTGCTTTTAAGGACTTCTGTTTTTACTGGTATATTTGTGTGTTCAATCTGTTTTGCGTTTTACAGGTTCACTCAAAATCTCTCAATGTTCAGGAGGGATATAAATGAGTCCTTGAAAGGTCCGAATATGGTTGCTGCGGTTGTCAGTGATATGATGACCTCATAACACAAGTGTTTAATAATGGACTATACGAGCTGTGGCATTTCTACCTTCCAAAACATTGTTGATAGGGAGGTACAGTAAACCTATGTTTCATAAATTTTGTGTATTACGTGGTACAAAAGCAATGTTGAAGAAACTGCATCTGTCATATTGCCCAGAATGTCTGCTTGTCTTTTTATTAAGTGATTGTTCATATGATTGGAATTCCTCCATGGAAGTTTTTAAACTTTTTTTTTTTGTATGAAAAGTGTTGATAAATCTCTAGCTAGTTAACAATTTCAGTCGTACTTGTGTATCTGTGTGTGTGTCAATATGTTTTGAATGAAAATGGTCCTTTGTATTTAAATGAAACAAAAACCCTGTGATTAGATAATTGTTTTTTTGTGAAATGAACAAAATCAAACTGAAAGAAAATGAAGTACAGTATTTGTATACCGTTAACTTTTATTCCTCCTTTATTTGTATTGATATTTTACTGTGGTCTAACCATCCTGGAAGGTTGAGATCCTATACTTCAAAGTAATCATGTAGTGAACTGCACATCACTAGTGTGCATGTTATTAAAATGACGTATGGATGTGTGTGTGTGCCTGCATATGCTTTCTTGATTAAGGTGATACTTGTACAGAACTGGGAAGGAATAGTAGTTTTTTTTCGTGTTCTTACTGAAGAAAAAGAAATACATGCTTACTTTTTATTACATTATTTCGTTTATTCTGAAACCCAAACATTTCACAAGAAACAAGAAATACTTGCACATTTGCCTTGTTAGAAAAAGAGAATTAAAACAAACTTTGCACTCATATTACTTTAAACAGATCTCAAATGAGCCAAGTAACAGAGAAAACAATAAAGACATGAATAATCTAAAAAAACACAGTGCAATATGACTGACAAGAGGAATTGCATTTGTAATTAACAAGATGTCTAATATAATAATTGCAATTATAATCAAACAATAACATAAAATAAGAGAAAAAAAGATCAACACTTTTGTCAGGAAACCAGAGAACTCTCTTTGGTCTCTTTCTGGTGTCAAATTTTCACACCTCTTCTGGAGGAAGTACACTTGTTTAAGTGTCCATCGTCTCCTCTGTATTCATATCTTCCATGTCTTCATCATCTTTTTTTTCTGGTGGCTTTTCATAGGCCTTCTCCAAAGGTGAGACTATGACATCATTCCAAGCCGAAGTTTCTCCAGTAATGTCAGCTACAAACGAAAACAAGTCCACATTTTTAACCGAAATTCCCAACAGGTAAACCAATGTGGTAAAACTGGACTTACGCGTATTTCCCTCCAAGATGCGTTGGAATCCCCCATGAGAGAGAACTCTAAGTAAAGTTTGTGCAGTTAAGCAAACTAGATCGTGTTGTTCCAGAGTCATGGCAGTATGAACACGCATATTGTTTGCTTCACAGGGATCAGTTATGCCTAAAGCAAACAGATAATTAATATAAAACATACAAATGAAAGCCTGATAGGAGATATTAGTTATTAAAGAGGCTTACTTGCTGACCCTGGGAGAAATAAACCAGCAGCTAAAAGCTGCAGGCAACGACGATAGGCAATATTTATAGGAAGGGCTTGTCGACTTGGATTGTTTAGAATAGCATTGTGGGCCTGTTAAAAATAAAGAGTTAAAACCACATCTGATATGTAAATAAACAAGAAGACATAGAAAACAACAAACCAAAAGATCCAACATCCAGGGTGAAAGTGGTTCAAGACCATCAAATCTTTTTCGCAGGTCTCTTAGAAGACGAATTAACACTTTAATACTTGAATGGTGAGCATTTTCTTCAAACCAACGGCTAAGAAAAAAAACACTCAAGTTCAGTATGAAAGAAAAACTAGCACCACACAAGGATAATGAACTGTCAAAAAGTGTATCTAAAATACCTGTGACGAACTGCTGCTAAATGACTTTGAATAATTTTAGCATCCAAATGAAGTTCTGGACTAAGTTTGCGAAGGTTTTGAAGAATTGTTGTCACTAGAATGCGTACTGTGGCTCCTTGCATAGAGAGTTCAAATCCTCTCTCTGTAGTTGTCAAGGTAGCCTTAGTCCCACTGTCTTGGCCGCAAGATGTAAGTAAATCTTCATGAACCTTTTGTGCAAATTTGTCTACAGCTTCTCGAGTAGGAAAAGTTTTTAATATCACGACAAGATCCGCCACATTATGACCAGTAATCATAGTACCCTTTTTGTAAGAGCCAACCTCTCGCACCTCTTCAATTTGCTGAAAAATACATGATTAGGGAGGGAAAATAAACATGACTATGAAAGATCTCATGCAAATGTAAATAGATGTAGAAATGAATTGGGATTTGTAAAACTTACACAAGCATCAAATGTGCCGGGTGTGATGATGAGACCGTCAAGAACAGCCTGAACTTTAGTCACAAGGTTCAAAACAGCAGTATGCTCCTGTTGTGTAGGGGTCAAATCTAGGTTCCGTTTCATCAGTGCCTTTAAAAAAATAGAAATATAATAAGGGGGCGAGTATTTCGGGGTCCTGAGAGAATAATTTTATGAACAACCACCTACATTGGTAAAAGCTGTTTCATCTGGTGCAGGCTTAACTCGAGGAAAAGATGGTTCGCAAAGAGCCAAGTCAAAGGGATGACGAGGAAGATACATTGGTTTCACACCATGAGGGAGCGGTCTTGGGCCTGGTCGCATACCACCCCGCATAGGACCTCCTCGACCTCTTCCACGAGCCATTCTCATACTATGAACAGAAGAAAAGTTGACTTAATTAAATTCTTATACTTAAAGCAGGGTTTTTAAAAACACAAAACATAAAATGGGGAATTCATCTAAGAGAAGGCTTTTTTCTATCCACTAATGCTTCAATTTTGACCACCATTTCAGTAAACAGGGCCAATAATAGTGATAATATACACTAAAGAATTCTTCAATGATTAAAAAATGAGTATATTGATAGTATTTAATGGTTAGCAAAAGAACAAACTAGATTAGATTGCATCTAAACTCAAATTCTACTTCTTTGAGAAAACAAAAAAACAAAAAACAATTAGGTTTGATAGCTATTGATACCGGGTTAGAACTCAACGGAGTTTTCAATACCGGTGAAATAGTGACTTTTGTTACCTACGACTTAAAAAGAACAAAACAGAAAAATAGTAGCAGGTAAATCAATTTACCGAATACACAACCACACGTCACAACACCACAAAACTTTGGTTGTTTGCCCCTAGATTTGGGGGTTTGGGGTTTGGGCCCTTTTGGGTCTGTCAAAATAACGAAACCTTCCAACCAAACGATCGATGAGTACAGAGCGAGGCGAGCGCTTACGCGGCGAGTTTCGGAAGCTCTCCAGGACGCCAGCCTTTATGCAGGGTATCCTCGAAGTGCAATGTTTTTCTTGTCTTTTCCGTCTCCTAGCAACGGAATTTGAATACACACGCACCATGCAAAATGATTAGATCGTGATTCTTTGAAATTGTGTTATTGTTTTAATTTGTTCGAAAGCACTTGCTTGTGTTTTCTCATTATAATTGACCTGCTGTATATATTTTTTAAATTTATCTGATACCATGCTGATACACTTTCTATATTGACCATATATGTTTATTTTGTATATCTTGTGGTTATACATTAATTAATGTACCGATCAAGTAGCAATGTATGATGAAAGTATCGATGTCTCAGATGCCGAGGAGGTGGCTACTCCTCCTTCTTCAGTTAGTGGTTCTCGTAGACAGGAGGTATTTACTATTATTTTTAGATCTTCTATTGAAGCGTTAAACTATATGCATTATATTCATTCAATATTCCTAATTTACTGTGATTGCAGAAAAGTGTTAATCATGAAAAAGTAATTAATAACACAGCTACAATAAGACGTCATAGTATGGTTGGAGACGGCAACCACAGACCAGGTAGTTCAGATCGGTCTGACAACACTGATGATGATGATGAAGATGATGATGATGTCAAGGCTGCACATCTTGAAGGGTAACATTAGGTTTCTGTTAAAACTTAAAACTTATTACCTGACTTATATTGATGTTTTAATTTTTTTTACTTTCTGAAGATCCTATGACCCACAAGAATTTGCACACCTCCCTGTTACCTCAGAGGTCAAAGAACTGTTTCAGAACATTACCAGGTATATTTTGTTGATCAATTAGTAAAGTTAAAATGCCGTTTAAAAATGTTTAACTCTTCTTCTTTCCGATTCCAAAGGTACACACCCCAGAAAATAGATCTTGACTTTAAACTACGGCCTTTTGTGCCAGATTTTATACCTGCTGTGGGTGATATTGATGCCTTTCTGAAGGTGCAACGACCAGATGGAAAAACTGATGGAGTTGGATTAAAAGTTTTAGATGAGCCATGTGCAGCTCAAAGTGAACCTGCTGTGCTACATTTGCAGTTAAGAGCACTAACAAAACAATCATCTGCGAAAGCTGTGGTAAGTTGAACATGATTTGGTAAAGGTTTTGAGTGCCTTCTGGAATTCCCTTCATCTATATCTCCTCAGGTTGTGAAACAAGTGGAAGATGCCGAAAAAAATGGAAAAGCTATTGAGAAGTGGATTAAGGATATTAGCGACTTACATCGCTCAAAGCCACCACCAACAGTTCACTATTCAAGGTAAAAAGTAGATGTAATGTGTAAGCACAATAAAGAACTATGAAAAACATTATTTTTTAAAAAGCAATTTGGTTGTGTATTACAGGCCTATGCCAGATATTGATAACTTATTACAAGAGTGGCCACATGAAATAGAAGAAAAACTTAATCAATTTGGTCTACCCACTGCCCAGTTGGACACCACCTTGACGAACAGCATTGATATTATATGTGGTAATGTGCCTTAGAAGTTTCCCCTTGTTATTTTATACATTCCAGAAAATATTCTTCAATTGTACAATATACAAAGTGTACATTACCGGTGCAAGTCTGAGATTCTCGAGAAACTTGGAGTTGAATGCCAGCTCCAGAATTTGGCGGGGTTTAGATCGATGGGTTGCCTACCCCTCAGGCGGTAGCTCCTCAGCCATTCAATGTAGGAGGACTTCCCTTATATTTTGATAATTTATTGTAGAGCCTAGAGCTATTAATATTTGATTTGGATTTCGGCTTCGTGCTTTTGGATCTCATTGAACAATTCTCATAGGGGCGCCATAATCAGGGCATAATAGCCACCGAACCGTGAGGTAAGCTATTGGTTGCCTACCACTTAGGCGGACCAATCCAAGAGAAAAAAGGGCGTAACTCATCTGTATTCGCCCAACCACACAAAAATTACAGCTTGCGAGAGAGGGTGCAGCCAAACCTATAACAAAATCAAGCAATTTATTTTTAAATTTGTTTATTTCACCTGAGTGGAGCAACCCATCGCTCACCCTGGCTCACCACCCAATTCTGGATCTTAAATATTCAACGCCTACTTTCTCTAGGCCAACAAAGGTGCTACCATTAAGGTGCAAACCCTCATGTTGTCATGAAAGTATTCAATGAATAATGAAAAATACAAATACAGGAGGAGTTACCCCATGTCGTGTATGGGTTCAGGAAGTGCAGTTGCACCTAGTTAAACTGAAATACTAATAATGGTTTCTTTTCAATTTCCTTTTTGTTTGCTTGTTTGTTGCAGGACTTCTGGATATACCTGTGTATGAGTCAAGAATTCAGTCCCTCCATGTCCTGTTTTCTTTATACATAGCAGTAAGAAATGCCAGAGGAAGTGAAATAAGTTAGCTAGCAAGTTATCATGTCATCATATATGTCTTTAATTAATAAATAAATAACAATAAAATTAGGGCAGTGTAAAAACCTGTCCAGAAGTAAAATTGTTTGATGTAAAAAAAACAAAAACCAAGTTTTAAAAGTTATTTAAAAAAGAAAACAACATTGATACCTTTTTTTATATCAAGAATTTTGATAGAAATTTAGAAACTAAGACTACACTTTGGAAAAGAGGAAGATGTCCTTGTGAAAGCATATACAAGAGAGAACAGTACAAGAATGGTTCATCATACAGCAGAAACAAAATATTTGTTTCCCTACACCAATTAAATAAAAAAGCTTACATTTAATACCCAGGTAGGAAAGTGACATTAGGGCTGGGTGAGAATCACCATCTCCAGATATCTGTTTCATCCCCATTCCAATCAATTCATACCACACTATAAAGAAAAAAAAAGAAGGGAAACTACAAGAACTAAATAGAACACACAAAAGTAATGAAAAGAAAAAAAACACTTTCAATAAATAATAAGTACAAAAGTTGTTTCTCTCCACATAAATAGTTCCCTGGCACAATTTAGACCACATACCATCTATAATTTTATTTTTTAGAGAAAGGTTGCTAAAACAAGTTACAATGCAACACAGGAGTACAAGGAATGGGGACATTCTGCCTCTATTTTAAAATTAGCAATACATCAAGCAAGTATTTAACAGCTCTAGGCCTTACAATAAATAATGACAGTATAGGGGAAGTCCTTCATTGTATGGCTAAGGAGGACACCTTTTCAGAAAAGCTAACAATACATATGGAAGTGTATGTACTCCGATATATATATATATATATATCTCTACCATATATGGTAGAATGAGATGTAGAATATATTGTCAGACATTCTTTGCACACATATAGATACAAAATATAAAGCTACAATTATACAACCTCTTTAAAATATCAATAAAAATCACAGTTGGGATGAATTGAACACACAACAACTTAACAGCTTGGTGTTCCAACATAGGTACATATTACAAAACACTAATGCTCATAAATAATACAGGCTAGTTGTGCACAACAGAATCAGCTAAAGGAGGGTGCTTTGCTTAATGAACTTAGTCACAATGCCTTAAGTTTGGTTTCCTAGTCTACATACACTCAATAGAATCTGTCAAGGATCAGCTAATTCCAGTGACACAATTTCTAAATTGCACGAAACCCTTAACAATCAGTCATGGCTACATGATAATATATACACAACCATGTCCAACCCAAAAGCAAAGGCCAACTAAATCCAGCAATATCCTATATAATTTAGGAAATGGTGCTTCCAAAACATTCATCTCGGAGAAAGCTTTTTCTTCCAATTGAAATTTGCTAAGGTGGTTGTTGAGGCTCGGATACTTCCTCCCCTTCAGTGGATGGAGTACTTTCCCAATTAGGCCCACTTAGCAACGAAAGCCTGATGGCGTCAACATAGTCCCGGCCTGCCGTGGTGAGCGTGCCTTCTGCTATTGATGGTTTGATGACCTTGTGCTTCCGCTGTACGAGGTCGAGAATTGCGAATTGCGAAACTCCTGCAGAATCGACACATGGGGATCTCCTCGCAGCATGGACAGATGGGGATGAGGGTGGGGATATGGTATTTGATAGGTGGAGTTCGACGTTGGGGGCGCCATATGATGGAATGAGTCTAGCTGCTGAAGCTGCTGCTGATGGAGATAAGCTTCCACATTGTGATGTTGATGGGCAGGTTGTAGCTCTGTCAAAGTATGATGTTTGGGAGGTGGAGTCTGTGTAGGGCTGCTCGAAGCTGAAGCTGGGACCGATGATAGGACCGCTTCGCAGGGGCTCTTCATCTCTACTTGAACATGCTCTATCACTGTGGTGTCTGCTACTGAGCCAGCGTTCGATTCGGTATCTGTATCGCATTGACTCGAGCGCGTTTTCCGTTTTCCACCTTTTCCCTTTTTTGGGCGCTTCCCAAAATGCTTCAGCTCAAGGTGACGGCGTAAGTTTCTTGATTGACGAATAATGGCATTACAAAGGGGACAGGCTGCTGGTTGCTCAGATACGCCTTTTTTGTCAGCCAAAGTTGAGGCAGCAAGTGCTGCTGCATCAGCAGCTGCTGCTATATCTGCATCTGGAACAAAATTACAATGATTAACACAGAAGGTCTTTCTGATCATACAAAAAAAACTCCTCTACTTTACTTTGGCCACTACTACTTTACAGAAAAAGCATTGAAATAATAACAAAGGCCAGGCAGGGAAGGAGAATTTGTGCCACAGGCATTATAGACTGTTTTCCCCTCTTATATTAATAAAAAAGCAATCACAGGTCAAGGGAGAGGCACTCAATCACTCAAAGAGAATCATTCAAAAGTTTTACAGCACTCTCCAGGTAAGAGTTGATGCCTACCTAAAGACATGTTTCACAGCAGCTCAATCAAATCTCAAAGTGGAGATGAACTCAACACCTGTCACCTACATTATGTCAATGAAGGTACCCTTTACAATTACCATGGAACAAAAATAAAGTCCTGTATGAATGCGCTCTGTGTGATAAGAAAATACAATATGAATTTACAAACTATAGAATGAGAAAAGAGCCACATACATGGGCTACTCCTTAATTTTAGTATACTATCACAGCGAGTTTTAATTGAACACATTGAACACTTAATTATCATATTCTCTACTTTCAGATGAAGAAGGACTATTGATCGCATGAATAATTTCGGGTGGACCAATGTAGGGTCTACAAATTAATTCTTCAGGTTCAGAGGATTCCTCCTCTTCACACTCTTGTTTAATCACATTATTCTGATCTTCAAGTCTATTGTCATTGAGACCACTAACAAGACGAACACCACCCACAGTTGACAATTGGGACAAGGCAAATTTTGGTGTGCACTCTGTTTGTTTTTCACCCCCCAAATCACATAGATCGTGATGCTCCGAAGGAGTCCGAAATTCTCCCACGTGATATAAATGGGGAATGCGGAGTTTGCAGCTTGTGAACAGATGACGACGTAGATTTCGAGCCTGACGAACGGCCGTGCCACACAGGGGGCACACACCTGGCTGGTTTGAGCCCCCCTGAGATGCTTTCACCAGCAGAGAATACACTGTGAATGGACACAACAGACTTAACATACACACTAAAAAAAAGTTAACACCACTCACACAAAGATGCCATGATACTCTGGATGTCTGGTAAAAGCAATATTTTCATCCAGGCACAAAATCCTTCCCTTGGCCAATCAGCTCTTTGACTAACAAACTCAAGTTTAAAAGGGGGAGAAAAGAAGAAAAAGCACATCAATTTATCTCAGAATTGTAGTCTGAAAATTGAGTGGTCTACATTTATCCATTAATTTATAATAGTAGCAAAAATAAAGATAAGCATCTAGACAAAAACAGAAAAATACACATGCAATGCAGACAAATAATTTTATCTGAAAAACAAACAGTTGTGGGATGTTAATATTTACCAGCATTAAATAATAGCATCTATTTTTTGTCTCAAAGAAATTATTTTTATAGTGTGACAAGGCAAAATAATATGAGTTCAAGAATAGATAAAATGTTGCTATTTAGATAATAACAACAATTTTACTTTGCAATGACTTTTAATTATGATTATGAAGATGTAAAATGTCAGAGGGAAGAGTCGCATTGCATCTGGGTTGAACTGAATTTGAAAAAACATAAGTGAGTTTATTTACTTACATGAGTCTTCTTTGTTGATTTCTTCATCCTCATTCATTTCTAAATGGTGTGGAGGTATCATAGTAGACTCATCCATACATAAAGGCATATGTCTAGCTGCTTCTAGAGAAGCTGGGGGCTGATTACCAGTGACCCCAATACTCTGGTCCTGCTTCCCAGAAGTTATTGGCACTGGCGTTGGGCACATGGAGACTGAAGTAAGAGTGCCGACTGATTGCTTCTGAGGTTTTTGCCCTGAGTCTGCTAAACCTGAATTATTAGACTTTACAACTTCTTGTATTGTTTGGCTCACTGAAGACTCAGTTGATATTGTTTGGGTGGCAATTGTATTTGTTTGAACCTCTTTGAGAGGACCTTCTGAATCAGATGTCTGAATAAAATAAGAAAAGGTTACAAATAGGTGAAATTCAGAATCCAATCAACCTCAAAGAGCTTGAATTGAACCATTATCGACAACTTACATCATCATCAGAATCATACTTTCCCCATTTATCATGAGGGGCATCACAGCAATCACTATATCTCCGTTTTTTCTTTTGTTTGCTCCTGGGTGGTTCTGAGCCCATGCTGACTGTATCAAGGAGACCTGATTTGGTTGCTGCAGCTAGAGATGCAGCACTGACTTTTTCACCTTCTTCAGTTGAAGCAGCCAAGGCAGCTTCTGCCTTCTCTTGATCCTCTGGTTTCTAAAAACCCAGTTTTATTTGTCAAAATTGATAATAATGCAACATGATTAATTAAAATTACCAAACATCTAATTAAACAATACTAATTGATTGAGTATTCAGAAACAGAAAAGTTGCTCTAGAGAATTGAATGAAAAGGTGAAAAGTAATTATCTTACCTCTGCAGTGATTGAACCCTGAACTAGACCTCTTATCTCGAGAACATGGGCTGCCTGAAGTAGGGCCGTGAGTTCTGAAGGGCGAACTGCCACTTCTCCAGTATAGACAAAGTCAAGAACTTGCTCTAATTCACGGGCACCAATACCAGCTAAAAGTATTACAGGATGCTGGCATGGTGTAATCTAGAACAAGAACATGTTCGTAGAAACTTTGTTTTTAAAAATATTTCTAGGTAATTTTTGCTTACAGAATTTTTTGATAAAACTACATAATGTAGTGTACGTACCTTCAGCAGCTCTAGAAATAAGGAGCTAGCCGCAGATAGGATGAGTTTGTGAGCAGGAAATGTTTTCCCTCCTGCAGCAAGAGTAACATCCACAAGGTCTCGTCTGGAGCGAAGTCCCTTAACAGCAAGTCTCAGGGAAGAATCAAAGTCATTCCATCCCAGGTTGTAGAGTTGTGTTGAGCTCCCCATGGTTGTAAGCCAGTTCTGTTAACAAAGTGAACTTTGTTAGACAAAGTGCCTCCCATATGCTTCATTCCACTTAATTTACCCAAGATAAATGTTCCTCTTAGCCCATTATAGATCAAAACCATTGCTTCTTTGCTATTGGTCAAAATGATTTCATTCATCATGACAGAATTAAGAATTAAATCTTATATAAAAGCCCAGTTCCCACTCAAGGTAAGATCTGTCGGTATGAGCAGATAGACAAGCTGAACCAAATTAGCTTTTCTACAGCTAGTGTCCATTAGATATTTTCTTTACTGGGATTAAAATGTCATGAACCCAAGTTTGAAAAGGACCATAATAAAATCATGGTTGAGATGAATGAGCCCATGCAGACATAGGTAAAATGAATGTAATTACTAGCGCAATAAAAAGATTTGTGAATTTCACGCCTTTGAAAAGAATGGGAATATCTTACATGAGCTCATTATGGAAATAAAAAGTTAAAATAGACAAATCAAAAGTTATGCTCATTACAGAATATTTATTATAGATATACAAAAATACACTTCCCATTGAAATGCGCCTAAATCAGAAGCTTGGTTACATTCTACCCATGCAAAACCCTTGAAATTATTAACTCACACAGTCAGAATCGACAAACAAAAAATTGAAAAATGAGATTAGATTGGCATTTAACTACAGGACAACACATTTTCAAATTATGCATTGAAGGATTTCATAGATGAGTTACATTCTAATCTAAATATGGAATAGAGCTGACTACATATAATAAGCTATTGATATAAACATGTGAGAAGCCAATTGCCATTCACTCCAAGGAGAGGGTGCTTCACCTCAAGCTTTCATCCTTCTTACATTTAAAACACCGTGCTCTCACCAATTCTTTAGCAAAAAAAAAAGGAAAAAAAAGAAAGGAGCTAGAGAATAGAAAGCCACACAGATACATCTAGAATATATAAGAGTAAAGTAAGTCATGGCTTAGTATGTTTGATTATTTATATTGAATACTGCGTAAGTAACAAATTTTCTTTTAAATAAAGACTATAGGGATACACACACAAAATCATTAGTGCTATGGGTTCATTGCTTTGGGAAGATAATTAAACCAAACAAGTCATTCATATTGATCGGATAAACACACTTAGTTTCTTAATACTGAATGGCTTCAGGACAAATCTTGGAGATTTTAATATAAATGAAGCTTTCTAACCATGAAAAGCACATGTTCCTCAGCAATAAAAAAGCAAACAAGAAACAAAACAGAACCTTTACCAAGTCATGATGCAGATCATGTACAAAATATGAAATCACTTCATATACTGCAATGTTTAAATCAAAAGGGGAAAAATAACATGTTATGATTGAAACTATAGTTTCCCATTAAAACACAAAACAATCTCACATTTTGAGGGAGGTCCTTGGAACCAATAGTGGACTAAATGAAATTAAGACAACATAGACATATAATTTTGTTAACATTAAAACAAAGTCAAACTTTCAAATGTGAGATGAGCGGTCTTTGTCAAATAAATGTTACCCTACAATTTCCGGAGATGAAACCTATTATCAAACAGGACAGGGATCTCTCTTAAAACAAGTCAACAGCTATTACAGAAATAAATATGACAAGGGACAAATCACAAACCAATTTCAAGATGAAAAAAAAAAGCTTCAATAACGTAATTAATTAAATTTCACCTAGCCTCCACTCCAGCTCATAACGTAAACATACTCTTACTGTTGGCACCCACTTTAGAAGCAGTGTCTTTGTGGCTTTGATAACTCATAACCATCTTAGGAGGAAGGGTAAGCCTGCTTTTGAGCCTGCGCCCAATTTCCATTATGCTAGTACTGTGGTTGAAATCCGCAGTCCAAATACCGATCTTGTCAGCTCGTGCGCGTACGTTAACCACAGCCCCGCAAATCTCGTCGCTGTACTCGTCAAACGCCTCTCCCACCATGCACAGCAGGACTTCCAGCCAAAAGCGGTCCAGCTCGTTCATCTTCTTCTCCACGTTGAGAAGCCAACGGCCGCCCTGCTTGTTAGCGTCGTCCTCCCACATAGGCCGGACGCCCTTTTTGAACAGAGAGTAGTCGCAGCCCATGCTCAGCTCGCTGGCCATCTTGATGTGGTTGTACAGGCTCCAGAAGTCCTCCACCGTGTCGAAGCTGGTGATCTCGCGCTGGTTCTCCTCCCAGGACTTCTTACGGTCGTTCTCGTAGAACCAGAGGGTCCAGGTGTTGTGCAGCGGGTGCTTGATGAGAAGCTCCCCAGACAAATCATCCCCTTTGGCTTGCTGCTGCTTTTCGTCCGTCGTCTCTTCCACTTCGTCCGCCTTATTCCCGGCCATCACTAAGCTATGGGGGTCAAACAATCAAAACTTGAAAACTTGCCTTAGCTGTTCGATTTTCGCTACGATGGGGTAGCGGAAAGGGATAGATAGCGGTAGAAATATCCACACAAAACGAGGTCAATCAATTGACAGAAAAACGAAACGGCTCTAGCCCCGTCCCTCGCCGAGTCTCTCCTCTCCCTGTCGCGACTGGCGACGCGATGGCGCTGGGGTACGTTCCCTACTCAACCCACTTTCAGTGTAAAGCGTTCCGTTCCACCCGGTCGCTGCGAGGTCGTTGAGCCCGCTCGGCCGCGCCTAACGGAACTTTTGTGTGTACGTGGCGATGTTGGCAACGCCTCTTGCCTCGCACACGAACGTCGCCACGTTGGTAGCGCTCGTAACAAAGAAGCGGCGCGTTTTTTTCAAGCCAACCATAGCAACTGCAGCACTCCAAAGAGAAACTTGGACTTGCGCTGGGTGAAAAGGACTAGAAGCATTTGCAGCGCGTCACCATTGCACGCGGATTCTGAATCTTTTAGTTGCTCCTCATGGATCGAGAGTCAGTACTGCATTCACTCATATCAGGTAGCTCCGGGCGCAAACGCTTGTGCCCGAATGGCATTCCCCTCTCTGCAGGGCGGCCGCGGTGCGAGTCCAGGCCGCCGCCCGGGGAATGGCGGTCAGGCGCGCGGAGGCGAGACGCCACGCCGCGGTCACTGTCATCCAGCGCCTGTGGAGAGGCCACGCCGCCAGGAAGGAGGTCAAAGCCATCTTGCAGGTCGGAGCCTCCCCCCCCCTCCCCCTTCAACCCCCCTTTCCGCACGAGAAGCCCCACGGGCCCCACGGCGCGATCCTCGCACTCGCACGAGAGTCAAGAAAGTGTCATTCTGGTCGGGTACGGCGTCACTTTCTTTTTGCTCTAGGGGGACATCGCGAACCTCCTCCTCCAGATCTACCGGCGCGCAGCCACCAGGATCCAGGCCACCTGGCGTGGCTACTGGGTGAGGAAGAGGGTGTTCTGCTACCGCCTCTACGTGGACTGGCAGGGCCGCTGCTTGCACCGCGGCCGGACCCTTATGCAGGAGATGCTGGTAGGGAGTCTGGGCTGCTGCCCTTCTGGCTGGGACAGATCGGGGCGTGCTAAAAGAGGCCAGACTAGCCAGCTAAGTAAACCCATTGCTCTCCAGCACCAAAGAGAGCTGCTCCAAGAGGAAGATCGCAATAAGGCCGAATCGGAGGCAGAGAAATGCTCACAACTGGTTCTACGTAAATTACATCACCTTGTTTCAACCAAATCAACTCCTGGAGTCTTCAACTCTCCCAGAAATCCGTAAGTTGGGATGGTCAATATTAAGGGTTTTCACTAGGGGGCAGAAAATATCCTTTTGTCATCTGGTTAAAATGATGCTAATCTTCTAAATAGGTCTGTCAAAGCAGTTGAAGATGGTCTGCGGCAACTACGATTCCACTCGATGCCTTCCTCGGTAGGTAGATCGTATTTAGGAATTCTGCAGGAACATATAAAATCAACACTTGAATTGTTTTTGTTTCCTTTCCCATTAAGGTCTCTACCAACAATGGGTTGGCTGATCAAGTTAGAGCCCTAGATTGGGAGGCAACTCGAAGTAGAAAGCTGTCAGTTCAAAGGGCTCTTCACCTTCCAGAGACCTGGAAAACTCGATTACGGAGTTTACAAAGTATATCTACATGAGAGCAGCAAAACTTTCTTGACAATCTGTTGCTGGAGAGCAATAATAATGACTGATAAAGACCAAATTGAACTTCAAAGTGTTCCAAGCAAGACAAAAATTCAGGGTGGGAATTGCATTACAAATCATTGTACGGTCAAAAACTGTGTTATACATAATTTGTTTATTACTGAAGACAAGTTAGTTTGCCACTAATGCAATATGTTCATTAAATCTCCATACACAAATGTAAAATTGCCACTATAAATAAATATAAAATATAGAATGTATGTAATATAACTCACACAAGTATATGCTGCATCCTCTTTAATTTATACAAGCCCACAGTCTTAAATTTAAGAATTCATAGTAAGAATGCAAAGGGTACGAGAAATTTAACAAAGGATACAACTTATATCTGTGTAAGAACAAAATCAAATAAAAGGATTCTTCAAAAAACAATAAATTAAGATAGATAGAAAATTTCATTGTGTGGGTTGCATCAATGTTGAAATAATGGCACGATACAAAAGTTCCAATTTAAAAAAAGGGAAGGTCATAGTATGTTTTATGAGTTTTGGAAATTGAAGCTCCGAGACTATCTAAGAGCAAAGAAATTTTGACACAGACAGTCCACATGGACTTTTTTGAAAATTCTTAGCTAAATACCAATGGTATCGGAAAATTTTAAAATGATATTTGGTTTTGCAGCAAAAGCAGAGTATTAGTATAAAAGTCTAACAATACAAAAATCACAGGACAGTCTATTTCCCTCTACTTATCACAATGGTACCACCCATTTCTCAAGAGCAAATAACAATATGGGCGATTTGCATTTTAAATGGACGGATAGCAAAGTGCCTCATTATTTAAATGGGAATGTACCTTTGTAGGGTTTTTGATACTGCCTCGGTCATCAAAAACTCTAATACCATATGTACAAAGATATTGATAGGGATTTTTAACCATACCACAAGCAAGGTCATATGAATACTAAAAATTCTAGCTTACAAATATGAGAGTCAAATATGATTCAACAGAAAGAGGAAAGAACGTAAAAGTCCTCGTCAAAACAATCTTCCATAAAATCTTAGTAAAGGGCTCAAGACACAAAAAAGTAACCATCAGGTACCAGTCAGAAGCTAATGATATAAAAATAGGGTAAAGTCCCCCAAATTGAGTCTTTTACAAATTTGTCTAGGCAATACAAATATAAACTCTCTACCTATTTGAAAAGATAGCATCAGTGTATGTACTGTTTATGAAGCTGGGTATAATACATAAATGCAGGAATTGGAACAGAATAGTAACAATAAAGCTGAATAAAATAACACTTATGGATACAAGTACAAGTGGCCACAATATCTAACACTACATATTTTGTTTGATGTACGTATATACCATATTGAAAACTGAAAAGGTTTGGAATAAACTCCTTCACTCAAGAATGCTTCTCTTAAGCATAATCCATGGCACAACCAAAAGAATTCCTCCCACCAAGTAAGTTGTAGAAGACCCAACACTCCAATATGCTGTAAAATTAATAAAGTATTCAATAAGAAGGATTTCTTGAGTCTGTTTCAATATACTCTGACTAGAAATATCAAAACTTACCGACAGAAGCCACAATGGGCCCAGAAGCTCGAGCTAGTGCCCCAAGTGATCGAAAAATGCCCATAACTGTTCCTTTTTGATGGTCTGCACCAAGTCTTGATACCAGAGTGGTCATGCAGGGAACAACCATTGCTGTAGCTAAAACAAATGATTCAATTAACAACAGTGAAACAATTAAGGACAGGAAACTTCTCTATTTATAATGTTTCAACTTACAAACAGCAAACAGGAATAATCCAACATAAAGAAGGACTGGAGTAGAAGCTAAGCCAACACAGATGAAAGAAGGTATTATCAAAAGCAGACCCTATGGACAAAAAAAAATGGTTAAATGCAGGCATAAACAGGACATGTGAGAAATAAATACAAAGATGCCTACAAGGACTGCTGTAGACTTTGTTCGTGATGGTGGTACACGCCTCACAAATGATCCTTGAAGAACAGCCATAGTTAAACCAATGGCAAAAAACATCCAACCCTGCTGCATTTTTGTGTATGAAAATTTGTGGTGAGTGAGGAAAGTTAAAGTGAACTCTAAACCAGAGTAGAGGAATAAGTACATGAAATACACCACTCCAAGACGCTGGAGTTCCTTCAGATCTGAAATTTGTTATTAAGAGAATGAAATATGTATTAGATAAATAAAATTAAAATCAAGTTCTTTCAGCATAACTGCATATTATCTTTGATAGATCAATACGTACCAGAGCTGGGAAGGTCTTTCACTGCAGTAAACCGAAACAGATCCAAAACATAAATATAGGAGGCAGCTTGGGACAAACTATTTGCTACAGATTTAGCACGTTTCTCCTAAAAGAAAATTCCCAATTATAATAAAATATGCATTACGTATTTACAGTATGTGTCTTATTGTTGGTACTGGAATACTGGCCTCACCTTTGGCAAAGTTTCCTTAAAACAAGCAGTAACAAAGAGAATATCTGCAATTGCTAAAGAGAGAGCAAAAGTAGCAGGCCACACAAACCAAGCTCCTGTTTGCGCTTGAGCCCATTTAGCAAATAGAGCTCCAATAACAGGTCCAACGATGAACCCAATTGAGAAAGCAATACCTACAAGGGCCTAAAAGGAAAAGTTGAAACAATTTTTTTTTTTGTAAATAATTTAGCACATAGAAAAGAGAACAATTGCAGTTGAAAAATGTTTAAAGTATGATACATACCATTCCTACCCCACGAGCTTTGTTGCTTGACACATCTGCCATGATAGACATTGAGAGAGATACATTTCCCTTACTTAGTCCTCCAATGAAACGAGCCATGACAAAGAGGATGAAGCTATGAGACACTGCCCATAATGCATATGAAAAGGCAATACCAACCTAAAGCAAATAGTAAAATTTCTTAACAAAAATCTACAAAAATGGGATGAATTAAAAATCTAGACATACACTCTTATCAAAAAGAGATACTTTACCAAACACGTGAGAAGCACTCTTCTACGCCCATAGACGTCAGACAAACCTCCGACAACAGGGGAGGCAACAAACTGCAAATAGCTGAACATTGATCCAAGAAAACCTAACAGAAAAATGCTTCATTAATAATAATACTTGGTTTTTACAGTTATTTTATGACAAGATACATACCACCAAAGAGGACAGAGTTAAACTGGTCAGGAGCACCAACAAAAGTTTGGAAGTACTTGACAATTCTAAGAATCCCTTGGTAAAGACCATCTGGCCCATCATTTTTATGGTAGTGGTCAAGCAATGAGGGGAAAAGAGGTAAGATCATTGTAAATGCTAAAAGATCCAAGAGAAGGGAGAAAAACACAACATACACCTAAAAAACAACAACAATTTATTTTTAATAAGAACTCCACATTTTTTAAAAAGAAATAAATCTCACAACTGCTTATAGTTTACTTACCATTGGATGAGTTTTTTCAGTTTGATCTTTCTCTTTGTCTCCACCATTCTTGCTTAAGGCTTCATTTACTTTGGAGTTCCCATTCACAATTTCATTACAATTATGATTGTTAGCAGAAACGGACCTCTTTGTGAGGCCCTTTCCAGTTGAAGGTTTTTTTTCCTCCATCAGCAATGATTTCTCACTCTTTTCAAGGAAATCAGCTGGGATTGTTTTCTTGATTGTTGTAATAGAAGCCCCATTCAAAAGAAGTATATCATCATTCAAGACTCGAGTTGAAGATCTTGTCTGGACCATGTTGTTTCAGCTAGAAAATTTATAGGACAGATGAAAGACAAATTGAGGTAAATGTGAAGGTTTATATTACATTTATAGCTGCTGTCAATCAAATAGAGCAAGTAAGAAATGCTAAACACATGGCTGTACTTCATAGAATGGCTGTATACAATCTATACCAAGGGGAACAACCACAACAAATAACACACCAGATAAGGTAAGAAAGACAAAACTTTTGATAAAAAAGCAAAAACTGATACACACTGTTTACTTTAAAAACAAAACAGATAACAGACTAACAGCCCAGTGAGAAGCCTCGACGTAGACGCCAATATAGATGCTTATGTTAAAAAAATAGATGTTGCTTAGTCTTTCCACATCTAAACGACATCCAACCGCCATTAATATTATTTCTTACTGGGAAGTTTTCCCTGAAAGAGCAGTTAAAAGTAATTGTGCAGTGGAAAACTTACTTTAAATAACACAAATAGTGACAAAAATTTTGATTCTCAGAACAAAATGAACTAAGTTTTAGACTTTCTCAGCAGATTCAACTTGAGAGTGACCTCTGTGTCTGTGCATCTGTGGAGGGTGCAGGGAACCAGATTTGCTGATCCGGTTAGCCTACTTTGACAGGCGGGCCGGGCACTTTCTCTTCACCAATTATCGTGTTAGGGAAAGGTATGGCCGCGACAATGTTCGACGAGTGGCACAATAAGAACTGTGAATGTCGTGCTACTGTGATGGGCACGGGGGCTTATCATTCATTTACCCAAGGAAACGTCACCAAATGTCCAAATCCGAGGTTGCAGCAGAGAATAACCCAAGCAGGAGAAAGTGAGAAGTTAACCTAAAACCTGCCGCAATAGAAACGTCCGATACGCTTTAACTCTTCATTCTTACCGTAGAATGTACTTCTTCCACTCGAAACACACTTCACAACGAATGTCATTCATTGACAGCTGACCATGTTGTCAAACAATCCAAAATGTTTACAAATTTGATGTGTACGGAAATATACTCTGGTGACAGTGCCAACATGGTGCCAACAAAAGAATATCGACGAAACAAGAGCACCGCTGTCAAAATGTTCCCCAAGTTAAAAGTAAATTTCAAATTCAAGAAAGTATAGATTGAATTACACTCATCAATTGCAAAAATATTTCTTATTGCTCTTGACGAAATGGAAAATAAAACAAATCTTTTCAATGGTGGCAACATGTAAATACAGGTGTGATGAAAAATTAGTGCAATTTTTTTTTTACTCCCGCGAGAGTTTAAAGTAATCGCTAAACAGGAGATGATGTATGGAAAGGGAAATTTTACCTTCACGACCTTACTCTCTTCACTATTAACTGCAATTTTCCAACCATGAGCGAAAATTTAATTTCCGATGAAACCAATTTCTTTGTTTTACAATTTTCTTTCAAACGAGCGTACGTGTTGATAGTGTTGCCATTTATATTTGAAACAGGTACGCTTACTTGCATGATTAATGATTTCCATATCTTTATTTCTTTTCCCTACCTGCTTTAATACGAATTGCAAGCAACCCCATCGCAAGTAGGCTCGTTAAGAGTCTTGTTGCAGTTAAAACTGACATGTAGTCAGGTCAGATTGATTTGCTCAGTATGTTGTGCAAGTTGAGAGCAATAGATCCAGAAAAAAGCCTATGGCCATAAAAGGTTTGGTGAAAGAATTAGGCTGGTTCTCCAAAATATCTTTGTTGGGCAAGAATTAACAGAAAAAAATAAATAAAAAATAAAAATATGTTTGCAATTAGTAAGTTTTAACTGAGTTGGATGTGATTGAATAAATATAACACAATTTGAGTCTTTGTGATAGTTTTCAAATTTTATTTACATTTGGCTTAGTCACATTAGGTCAGATTTAAACATTTATTAGAGCTGATTTCTATTTTATTTACACACTCTGGTACAAAGTTTCTTTTTAGATGGGGCCTCTACCTCAGGAAAACGTTTTTGTCACATGGGTTGCACTTACGTTTTCCACCCTGAAGAGAACGCTTCTGCCAGAATGACGTCAGAGTGATATAATTTTGAGCTTTAATGTCAGAATATGGTCCTCCCATGCAGGTCTAAGTGACCTCTGACGACCCCATTTTGACTCCATTTTGACTCCGTTTTGACTTTGTGTTCTCACAGGGACATGACCAGTGACCACATAAGTGAAAAAATTGTGACCTTGCCATTCATAAAAGACATCATAATGATGGCATAACAACATTTTCCTGGGAGTCCATGATCCCTTGCTGCCCTTGGTGTATTGTATATGGTCCACAGAATGTCTTGTGGGTTATTCCTGCTATAACTTTAAGCACACACATTTCCTTGCATTTTCTTCACGATTGAGTGTATCTCTCACTACATGAATCTGACCAGACATTCTACCCCAGTCTTCGGACGGACTATCTTTTCAAAGTTATGCCCATGGTTTTGTTGTTAATTTTAGATTGTTCTAAAAAGTTAACTGTACCCATATTTTTTTTTCCTTTTTCCATGTCATTCAGAGAATTTTATACCAACTCTTTAATTCTACAGGCCACTTTCCCAAAATTATGGAAATTATAAAATATACATAGTAGGTATTTATGGTAAGTCAAAACCATGATACATTTTTGAGGTTTCCACAGAGGCAAATTTTGATGGTCAGTAACGTTATGATGGCTAATATTTAAGAGACCCACTTTCTGTGTTTTGATATGTCTACAAACATACAATGTCTGGAAAATTTTGTTCATGTGGACCCTACAGTAAAAAGTTTGTAGAGATTTTCGTGTGGAACACCAAATTGACGTTGCTGTGACGTATACAGCCATATGATTGTTAATGAACAGACAGCAGGAAAAAACAATGTTAGTATTACTAATCCATAACAGGTAAAAAAAAATAATTTTAAAAAATCCAACAAACTATGGACGTTTTTAAAACGACAGGTTTGTGATTCTTGAGTTGCCGCCTCTGGTGAGCTGCGCTTGTCCGCGCGGTGATGAGTCAGTCGAGAGGCTCCGGCCGACCTCCCTCGCGGTGCCGGCTGCAGCCGCAGGCACAAGGCAAGTCCATCACTCTCAGGTCACTCGCACCTCGTGCTCGCACTCAGTCTCTCAGCGCGTGCCGTGGCGGGGCGCGCCGATCACGACTTGCTACCGGAGCGCCACGAGGGTGAGGTAGGGCGCGAGCGCGCAGATCAGCACCCGGGGCAGCAGCGCGCCCCCGGAGCCGTGGTGCATGGCGGCAGGGTGCTCACCTGGAGAGGGACAAAATTCAAAGTCAGTCGCAGAACACGCCGCAGACTCAAATCGACGGTCCGAACACATTGCACGCGAATATATTTTGCTTAAGCCAACCAGATAACTTTGCCGCGAAAGGCATTGCGTGCGTTGTAAAAAAAACAAAACAAAACAAACAACAAAAAAACATGCAGTGGATTTTTGCCCTTTGATGCGACATTTATTACACCGAGCATGAAGCGTTTCCGATCCCAACCAAATGCAACAGAAAACAACCTGCCCACTCCACCTTCCAGTCCAACCCAAGAGCAAGTCAGAGACCAACCAGATTCAGAATAGGACAACCCATCATGTACTAACGACTGGAGCCGCGGACGCGTTCTCAACAACAGGTGTTGGTTCGGGCTCAGACGTGGGAGGGAGCAGACACGGCGTTAATCCGGAGCAGGGTGCGTTTCCTACGGGACAGATTAAACCGAACAAGTTATTTGAGCGACGCCCTTCAACGGCCAAACGAGCCGCACAAATAATAAAGTTGCACGTGTTTCCAGCCCCCCCCCCCTTCCCTGCCTGCCTGCCTGAGGCAGGCCCTCCCTTTCTGCCTGCCTCCCTGCCTCCCTCCCTCTCTCCCTCCCTCCCTCGCAAGACTGCCACGTGAGTGCGGCGCGATTTACTGCAGCGAGCGCAAAAAGGTGGGTGATGTGGCGCGCGTGCATGTTGGCGCCGCGCTGGCACCCCGTTGGCACGCTCCCCACCTGTCCCCC